GGTTACATCTCAGGGGGGGGGGGGCCGGGGGGGGCGAGGCCGGGAAGGCGCCGGGGGGGCGGGGTGGGGGTGGGGGCCGGGCGGGTTGGGGAGGAGGTAAACGCCAAGAAGTCAGCCAAAATCAAGGGAAGCCGGGCGGGAAAATGCAGGCAAAAAGCGGGTGGGTCCAACCCTTTGGGCTGCAGGGAGGAGGATTAGGCGGAGGGTACTTGAGGTAACCCCCAAGACGCCTGGGCCTGTGGCCTCGGCGGATTTCTTCCGTAACTGTTACTCAGTTCAGCTTCAAGATCAATTTTGTACACATTCCTTAAGCTGTTTTCTACACAACTTCTGCAAGTGACAACTAGCTAAGCTTCAGCCCTTCCGACCACTTTTGCCTCATTACATGAGCTGTTTAGGCCTCCTGCCATCTTTCTAATCCGCAGGACCGTATGATATTTACATGAATACGCTGATACATGGGTCCATGAACACACTCTCCTGGCGACCCGGCTTGCAGAAGCTTTGCTACCCCGAAGGCCACAGAGCGGGCCAAAGATCCGCCTGCAGAGGAGAGCCCGTGATGTCTAGGGTTGCACAGCTGGGCTTTTAGGATTTAGGGTTTTTTAGGGTTTTTAGGGTTGAGGGTTGAGGGTTTCAGAAAACAGCTGTACCTTATTTCAGGGCTCTTCACACGAGCATCGCGTCTGCAGAGCTCTATATTCGGATACCCTATTGCTTGAAGTCCCCGTTCATAGCATGTGTTGCGCTACGATTTACTTTATAATGCAACTAACATCTGCATGTATGTCGCGTTGGTTACTGCAGGCTGTTTTGCTACGTGCGTTTGTGAAGCCCGTGCATGTATGTGTTCACTGAGATGCAGCACAGCATGTACTGAGCGTGCTCATGCTGGTAGTGTAGTATTGCAGCAAATTTTGCTGGTTCGAGTTTTCGTACTTAGGGATATTTTTGACTTGCAGACGCCGGTGTTTTCCTATTGGGGATATGGTATGTATCAGTCAAAATATGTAAACACCAGTACAAAAAACACATATGTATATTTAGCTGCACAATTAAACACATATACAACATAACTATATAACTATACAAGCATACGTGCGAATTTGGATACAGTGTACACGAATGAATACATAACACACATATATATATATACAAGTAAGTAAGTAAGCAAACAAATAAATCTGCCAGGTTGAGTACATATAAGTAAATAAATACAACTATACATACGCGCAGACGCCAACGTACACTTCCACATGCATTAGCATCGTTCTGCCTCGCGTAGACTATTCACCTGCACTGCTCAGCATGATACATGCACTGGGTTGTGAGGACAACATGACAGACTATAGCAGCACAGTAGATTACTTGGAGGATCATGGGACGTAGTAAGTGTTGTTATAAGTCCCTTTATTGGGGTTATAAGTATAGTTACCCTAATCATAACCTTACTTACTAAGTCCCATGATCCTTTAAGTACACGGTAAAACATTTGATGACTGTCACGCAGCGGCTCAGTACATGCAGGCATACGACACAGCAGGCTTACGTATCTTGCAGCAGGCTCATGTATCTTTGTGTACATGTATGTACCCACAGATCAGCAGTACACGCATGTTTATATCAACGTCTGTACAAGTACGTATACCCATACGGCCGCACAAATAGGCTTGATCTACTCGTCTTTGAATGCATGCATACTTGCATACGAACAGAAAACAAGCATGCGTACGTACATGCCAGTGCATACATACATGTATAAATGCGTGTACATGAAGCAGAAGTTCTGCCCTGCGAATGCAAAACATGAACTGTACCTGACCTGACTTTGTTTTGTGCTTCGAAGATTGTTTCTGCAGCAGGATGCAGCTGCGTGGCTTAGGCAAAAGATGCAGTGGCCTCAATCAGAAAAAGATGCGGCAGCATGGTATCATCATCACCACCCTGATTGTCACTCTCTCTCTCTCTCTTTCCCTCTGTGTCTC